TGTTTCTGTTACTATATAACAGAATATTCCTAACGGCGTCACTGTTGCCGTGGGTGTGCCAGGCACGTGCCTATGAGTGGACGGCGCGTGGCGGCACGTGGGTGGTCGGAAAATTATTCTAAAAATATGGGGATGTTCGTGAGGTTGTGTAGATCACGTTGGTATATTCAAACACCCCATTTGAGCATTGTATGAGAAGTTATTAGCTAGTTTTGTCTATGTGCTTTAAATAACATTTTTATATTTAATTCGAATATAGGTGAGACTTATCCCGAGGACGAGCGTGTTCAAGGGCGACTCGGGGGCTACGACCCTTTGACATACCAGTGAGTGGGCTTTTGGTTTTCAGTATATATTTATATACTTGATATTTTCCCAGAAATATGTGTTTAAATGAAAGTATGCCTTAAATGCCATGCATATGAATTTATATTTCGTATATGAATTGGTATATGATGCATTATATAATTGTGGTGATGTGGATGCTCAGGTAAGCTCAGGTGAGTTATGTTTGGTTATGTGAATTATCGATGATGTGATATGTGATTGAATAACGTTGAGCTCATAAAACTGCACCTAGGATGATTGTGATTTAGCAAGAGATATGGCACATGCCTATTTATAATGTCACATCTCGCACCATATGCTTATATTGGATCTAATTTAGGTGCACAGTCTTGTCGTACATACCTTATTTATGGTTCCGACTCGTAGGTGACTAGCAATTTATCGCCCAGTTGTTATGTGAGAGTAGTATTGAGCATAATTATATTACACCCAGTATTGTCGTACAAAATTTTTCATTTGGTTCTGACTCTTGTGCAGTATAGTGCCGTATAGGTCATTGTAGTGACTCCGGCTAGATTGACTTTTAAGTTATGAATTCAGTCGTACAGACTACTACAGGGGTTCCGGCTAATATGTTATATTTCTATAAGTTATTCTCACCTGAATTACTTACTCTGTTATATCTTGGCATGGCATACACATTAATATGATTATGTGAAGTATGATTTAAATTGATATATTTACATATATATTTATGTATATGCTTATATTTTGATTCTGGGAAATATTATACATGTTTTACAGCGAGGGGTTAGAAATGTTGAGAAATGAAATGGTTTTGTAAAACATTTGTTTTTGCCCACTTACGTTTTCTGTTTTGCGTCCCTCCAGGTTTTAGGTAAGCTTGCAGTTGCTGGGCACGAGGATTATGGTGTTCTGACACATCAAAATAATTGTAGGACATCTTATAGTACTGTATAACTAGTACTTGTCATACTGGATTGCACCTAGACTTGTTATGCTCTGATTAGGAGTATTTACTTTTGTATCTTACTCCTAACACTTCCTGTTTATTAGTGCACTCTAGTACTCCGGTTTTTAATTATTCATATATTCTTTATCTTTATTGCTTCCGCACAGTGCACATGGCTACGTCAGCCTCACGTGACGGCCATCATGCCTTGATCTCGATCGGGGTGTGTCAAAACTAGCCTTTAATCTCATTGAATTCCATCTATAAAAACTAAATTATATTTTCTTTTTTTTTTAGTGAAACGATATCGTTAGTAAGTTAAATGTTAGATTAGTCACCGACGGAGTTTGAACCCACGCATCATGTAAGGGCACAACATCTTTCCACCACTGTGGTAAAGGGCCACTTGCAATTATGTTTTCTATTATAAGGCATTGTGTTTGAAAATTTTGTGTTGTATTTTTATATTTTATATATTTTGTTTAAACACACCCGAATTAATTCATTATAAGAAATAGTTCGAAACAGTTTGAGCTTAGTATTGGACTTGAAATTTTCAAGCTCGAAAATTTTAAGCTCCGCTCTAGCGCAGGTCATATAAGAAGCAAGCTAGGCCTAGCTTGAGCTTGAAAGAAAATTTAAACAAACGAAACAAGAGCATAATAATATGAGAACTTTAACGAAAAGCATTCGGTACTGTTCACTTTAACGAAAAACCACATGTTTACACTAAAAAGTCAATCCTGATACTATTCACTTTACCCTTTATTTTATCCTTATCATTAAAACTCAAAGTTTTCAAGCTTTTTTCGTTAGTTTTCCTTAATAATATTCGGTTTGGCTCAGCTTGTTTACAGTAATTAGTTATTGTTGATCCTGCTAATACGATGACATGTCCATCAACGGTCCACAATTATAGATGACCCACTCCCCGGCAAAGACAGTCCATTACTACACAACTCCCCAGAACCTGAAACGAAACCGATTTTTTACTTTTCATTAGCCCCCATATCGCCACGCACGCTTCTTTCGCACCAAATCCAGCCTCATATTTCTTCGAACACATGGCAGTCACTCTCTCCGTCCGGCCCCACCGCCTCTCCGCCGGCTCCTCCTTCCCCCGCCCGCCAGTCCGCCTCCCCGGCCCGGCCCGAATCCGAAAGCCCCCCATGCAATTTGTGCCTTGGAGGGGCTCCATCGTCCCCCCCCGCCGCACATTAACCTGGGCCGCCACGGCCGGCTCCAGGGCCGACGACAACGCGCCTTTCGAGATGTCGGTCGAGAACGCCCTCAAGCTTCTCGGCGTCTCAGACGGCGCGTCGTTCGATGAAATTCTTCGCGCCAAGAACTCGATTGTCGCGGCTTGTAAAGATGACCAGGAGGCGATTGCACAGGTTATTGCATCTCCTCATTTTCCATTCGAATTCGTATAAGTTTTCGACTTTCTGAAATTTATGCCAATCTTGTTTTGATATTTTTTCTGGGTTTTGTACGAACAAATGTGGGTTGAAGTTGAACTAATTAATTTTTGAAAAATAGCAGAGATTTGAATGTTGAAGGGTCCTTTTTTTATGTTGAGTCTATTGAAATCTGTATAAGTTTAAGCTCTAGTTCATGTAAATTTGTTTATTTAAATAATTATTTTCTAATTAATATATTATTTTGACTGTTTATGATTTGTGCAGTTAATAAATTCATCTGTTTTACTCATATTTGATTTAGGACCACAAATTTGCAAAAGACTCAACTTATTGCTTGCAAGCTACGAATGATAGGTGTTTTTTTTTTTTTTGGGTAATTTTGGATGATGGGTTTGTAGATACAGAAGAATTTATTATGGTGGTTTCTACTTTTGGTTTGGAATTTTGTAATGTCATGATTATGATTTCCTTATTACTAATGTTTATTAGTTTAGGTTGAGGCGGCATACGACATGTTGCTTATGAGAAGCTTAACTCAGCGACGGGCGGGGAAAGTTGTGAATAGCAGTGTTCGTTATGCTGATGTAAGCCAGTGAGTGCTTCTGGGATTGGATCAGTGCCTCAGTGGCTGCAGGCTACTGTGAAGAATCCACCCATTGCAGTGGAAATGCCCTCGACGAGTGATCTGGGTGTACAAGTTGGTGTTTATGGAGCTTTGATGGCCTTCACCTATGTCAATGGAGCTTCCGGTTCTTCTTCGGGGCCATATGGAGGGGCTGATATTCCTGGACTGATCCTGGCTGGTAGCTTTGGAGCTTCCTTGTACTTCATGACCAAAAAGAATATTAAGTTAGGTATGGAGTTTTCTTATGTAAAAGCATTTCTTTATTGTCGCTTATTAGATGTTCGGAAGGTATTAATTTCTGTCATAAATCCTCTATTCGTTTTTTTGTCTTACCGTTTAGCATAATTTTGTCAATCATGAATGAGAGTCATGATTTTGTTTAGTTAGGTTGGTTATCTACCTCCACCTTTAATAACAGTTTATCCATTTGTCCGTAACCACTATATAAGAAAATGGTTGACAAGTATTGATTGATTAATAAAAGGGTATGTCTAACCTGAAATTTTCCGCATCTGGTATGTGGACAAGTGCATTTATTTAATGCAGTTCAGGCTCCATAGATTCTTGGTTTGTTTTTCTAAATCTGATATTAGGGATTAAGCTTCGGAGTAATTTTCTGTTCATCTTTGTAGGGAAGGCGACTATCATAACAGTAGGGGGGCTTGTTGCTGGTGCCGTGGTGGGTTCAGCAGTAGAGAATTTTCTGCAAGTAGACATTGTTCCGTTTCTTGGTATTCACTCTCCTGTTGCCGTAGTAAGCGAATTTATAATTTTTTTGCAATTAGTGGTCTCCTTATATTTAAAGTAAAAGAACATTGTATATATGACTTGAATGGTGAAATCTGTAATTATTCATTGGCAAGATCATATCGAGCTCTACTTAGGATGTATACCACTGCATGTTGTACAAAACTAACAATAGAAAGTAGTGAAACTTCTCGTTCACCCTTTCTCTCTCTTCCTCTGTTTCACCTTGGTCTTTTCCTTGTTCTACTGTGGATTTGGGAGTCTGTTTATAACTTTATAACTTCAAATTCTCCGTCCAAAGTCATTCATTTGCTGCTGTGAGTTAGAGATTAAAAAGGACGGTGATGGAAGCCAAGTGTGTTGATTGTTGTTAGATCTTTGAGCTTGACGTCTTTGGCCAGTAGAGAAAACGTGGCCGAACCAAAAACATAGTGGAGTAGGATGGTGGGACAAGTTCTGATTTATTGGCTTTTAGGGGGGTGGAAAGGTTGTTTATTGAGTTGGGTTATTCTATAAATGAAGGGAAATGATAAACACACATTTTTAAACTTTAACGTACCATGTTTAATGTTGGTTGCCGTTTTCATTTGACTTGTTCAATTTGACGGCTAAATATGGGTGTGAAAATCATCACCCTAAATGACTCGTGTTTGCATAATTGTGGAAATGCTAACCATGTTGGAATGCTATCCATGAATAGGACGGGGATGATTTTTGAGTTGCAAGAGGAGCATGAAGAGATCACAAAGTTTTTCATCTTTAATGGTTTGAGTTGTGTTATGGTCATTCACCTTGATGATTTCTGATCATTGATGCATGTAGGATCCTCAAAATCCGATTGCACTTAAGTTTCTCTACTCCGCAACCATCTGAGAGTAGAGGAACTGCAATTTTGATGTTCTGAGAAGTCAGACGAGCATGAAAATTTGGAGAAAGATATGTTCATTTGGAAGGAAAGAAGTCTACCATGAGAGTGCGGCATCACCACCACCCCCATAAACTTAAATAATTGAATCAACATATAGGAATTCGTCACTACTTGCTACAACATCACCACAATATATGTACACAAATACAAATCCACAAATCCCCAATTCTCAAACGACCCATGTCACCTGCTGCCATTTTCGTCATCCTTGGTGCCGCCTTCTATATACGCCGGGTTCCCAGCTTTATCTGCATTTTCGCTGCAGGTCACGAGATCGCCGTACAGTTTCTGTGAAGCCCTGGAGAACTCCGCTAAGGACTCGAAAACTGAACAAAACCCAGTCTGGATTACGTTTAATGTGACCCTTTGAGTTTCCTGCACGTAGTTTTGGTGTTTTTCCCTCTCCATGTCCACCTTTCTTCTGAACATGTCTATCTGCTCCTTTCTTTCTGTCAAGGACTCGGTCTTATGTTCAATATCTGTCTCGCATTTCTGTTCCACGAGCTTTGGCTCGAGAAACCTGCTCTCTGTCTTCTGGAATGCACGAATTCTTCGGTCGAGCTCTTTGGCTAGGCTGTCAACTTTCCGTTTTTGTTTCTGCTCTTCCCCTTGCTGATTCAACAGAGCCCTCACGTCCTTTGTAAAGCTTCTCAAGGCAATGGTCACCAAAGTATCCGGTAATTTCTCCATTGAAGATAACCAATCATGGCAGATCAAGAGCAACGGGGGGCCATTAACCCCATACGGAGCAGCTGAACTCCTGCTCCTGGAGTATAATTCCTCCTCAGGGACCACAAACTTAATTAGCCAACCGTGGAGAGTTTCAACATATGCTTTTTGTGCAGCGACGTACTCCCTAAAGCACGCATGCCAATTCTGAAGCTCGACAAGAAGCTGAAGCGTAGCACGCATGTGAGAGTTGTTGCTGAACTTTCCATACGCAGAGCCAGCAAAAGATTTCACCTCGAAAAGGATCTTGTGTTGGGTTTCATGAGATTCCAACATAATTTTCCAGGTGCGCATTAAGCTGCACAAGATACAAGGAAAATGTAAACTGATGAAACCCGCAATGAAAACTAATTTGGACGACTGCTTTAAGTTCAATCTGTTTAACTTCCATACCCTTTCAACAACTCAACAATTTGAGGCTGCAGTTCATCATCTCTCAATATCTGGATTCTCTTGGAAATTGACTCGGCACTCCGAATTGCAATTAAGATTCTGGCGTATAAATCCTTTACTGCAGCTTGAGTTTTGTCCATGGTCTCGTTGTCTCCTATGTCGTGGTGTTTAAGTCGCGAGCATTTTTTCTCATAAAGTTTCCGTGTCATATCTCCGGCCTAGAGGCAATGCAAATGTCAAGTCATCAGACCACATTAGTAAAGTTAAGGAACTAGATCACTCGTGGAGATGGTGCGAAAATAGCTTACCTTAACTTGGTCATAGAGCTTCTTTTCCCAGGCATATAGCCTTTCCAGAGTAAGTGAATGACTTCCTGAATCCATTCCACCATAATCATCGAAAAGATCATTCTTAAATTCCGTCCATGTTGACGAACCCTTAGATCTCGATGCCACAAGACTCTTACATGACGAAAGCTTAGACGATGAAGTCGAGTTATGCCATGTTATAGCTTCAATTAGCTTTGTTGAGTTCTCTGCAGTAAAATAGGATATAGAAACAAAGAGACTCAAGAATAGCAACAGATAGAGCACATGAAGGACTAAGGAAACACATCATATATGGAGTCATTATTGCTACAGAAACCGAGTGTTTATTAGGTGAACATTGTTTAACTCCTCACGTGGAAAGTGTCACATGTAAATCACAGTTTGGCACGTGATGTAACTCGTTGAAATCACAAAAGAAAAGCTTTTACACACATGTCAAACTGTGATTTGTCTGCAAAGATGAATGAATCCTTATCGTTAAGGAACCAAGTTTTTTCCTCCCCTAATATTAAAAGGAAGTACATGTGCAAGTAGTGGTGTAGTCAGGATTTTCAAATAATTGGGTCGTAATATAAACCAAAAAACTTCATTAGGCCATTTCGTCGAGCACTTAGTAAGTACCTACTAATTCTTGTCAACATATGCCGAAAGTTTATGCCAACATATGTTGACAACTACTATTACTTGCAGAGGCTTGTCGAGGGTGGATACAAGTTACCGTGGATAATGTTAGAAGAAATATTTCATACAAGAAGAGAGAAAAGGAATACAATATGATAGAAGAAAATAGAAGAAGTAGGAAGAGGAGGTTGTAATTTAGTTTGGCTTAACTATTTATAGGAGTCAAATACAATATACAAACAAATATAGATGGGGTTTTTGAAGTTATTGGGGTCAATGACAACCAATGACCCCATGCTAGCTCCGCCACTGTGTGCAAGAATATTCCAACTTTGTGAGAAAAAGAAAAGATGTTGAGGTACATAACCCAAATCATTGGTTAGTCTGCAGCAATTTGGGAGGAAGGTTTTGGACATTTAAGTAAAAAAGCAGTCGTGCAAGGGAATTGTTATTGACACTCAACAATACTCATCAGGGCGAGAGCCCAAAAGACTGCCGGATGACTATTTTGGAACTCCAATAACAGCTCCCTTCACATAATATACAACATAATTCTCAACATTTCAAACTAACTTATTAGCAACCAGATTGTGGTTAGAAGCAGGACACACACAAACACAAGAATACAAAAGAAATCACAAAGGGATCAAGAACCTAATAATAAAAAATAAAAAAACAAATTAATTATGGCATATATATTTATCACCAAAACCCTTTGCAAATGAGTTTTTAAATTATGCAGCAACAGAAGGAAATAAATATTAAAATTTTCAAGTTTTGAAAAAAAAAAAAAAAAAAAAAACCCACCTTTAATTTCCTCCAAACCAGACTGCATTTGCAGTTTATTAGCATCAAGCATCCTGGACACGTCCTTTGCAGAATCAGAAGCCCTAGAAAAAAGGTCCACAATGTCCTTCAATGCTTCCAACAGCTCCCTCCCTTCAGCTGGTGTATCAATCACAGCAAGCCCCTTTTGCTCCCCCTCCCTCACATTATCCCCCTCATCAACCACCTTCACCACCTCAGCTCCGCCGTCATGCTGCTCTATTCCGCCGTTATCTTCCACCACCACTGCCTTGTTTTCTACCTGACTCTCCTCTTCTTCCTCTTCTAGTTCGGGTATCCCTTCCTCCTCCCTCACCACCCTCAGATCCTCGTCGGAGCTCCGCCTGTACCCGCTTATAACCTCCGGCCTCACGGCATCGAACGGGTTGAAGAAATCCCACCCAAAATCTCTCTGTGGTGACAGCATTGCTGGTGGCATTTCCATATAAAAGTACCCACATCCATGTTCTTCTCTCTCTTCTGTTTTTTGCACCTCTTCTTCTCTCTCCTCCTCAGAGGAGTCTGAGGACGTTGAAGAACCACGTGAGTGACAAGCAATGGACTCATGGGTCGACTCAGACGGCCTATGCTGAAGGAACATTGGGTTGGTTATTACATTTTCAGTGATCGGAAGCGGAGCCGCCACCTCCGCCTCTGCCGCCGGAGTAGAGTGCGGTGAAAATGTGATGAGGTAAGGTTTAGGAGGGGAAGAGTAGCCTGCAACAAAGAAGTCCACGGCGGCAGCCACCGCAAACAAAGCATGGCAGTACTTACAATGCGCCTCCGCAAGAGCGTACCTTTTCTCCACCGCCAGCTTCAGCTGCCGCTTTCTCTCCCTACAAATTGTCACAACTCCTCCTTCTTCCCCCAGCTTGGAGGCAACACATCCCCCCATCTCTCTCTTGCTAAAGTTTGAGCCCTTCTGCCTTTGGGAAGTAAAAAATTGGGGGTAAAAGTGAGAAAGGTGATTTGTTGGAGGAATCTGTGGCTTCTTTTAAATAAAAAGGAGGTGGGTTCTTGACAAAAATGGCAATGTGCTTCTCTGAAATTTTATGTAAAATATGTAGCTTTTGGAGAAATGTGAGAGAAAATTAGGAATCCAGCTCTCTGAGAGCAGAAGTCCAGTTCATTTCCTAGCACAGAAAACAGAGAGAGAGAGAGAGAGAGAGAGAGAGAGAGGAGATGGGGGAGCAGAGCAGAGGAGACAGGAGAGTGTGTTGTTATACTTTATTTTTGTGGTTTTGGGAAGGAAATATTTAATTTTTCTGCTAAAAAGGACCGTTGAACAGAGTGGTGTTTGCGGTTTCTAGGACAGATTTTTATCTCCTCTATTTCCCTTAACCAGGTAACCTTGACCAACTTACGAGTTGCTAAACATGTATGCACAGAGAGACAGAGTAAAGGCCAGGCAGAACCCTAGGAGGAGGGAAAGAAGGTAGGGGCTCGAGAAAGAGAGAGAGAAAGATGGAGCGAGCGAGAGAGAGCTAGAGTGTTTTATTTTAGGTATGTTGTGTTTGGTAATTTGAGATATCCTTGAGCGGGATCGCGCTAAGATAATAGTTTTACGTGTTATACTTATTAGGCTAGTATGGCATTGTTATGTTTTTAAAAGGAGATGTGTTATTTACCCTCTTTTATACTTTTCACACATATTTTTTATTATGACCGTCGGATGAAATGAATTAAAGAAAATAAAAGGGTAAATCGTCAAAATGGTCATTGAGATTTGCATAACTCATAACTTTGGACCCTAAGATTCCAAATCGATAAAAATGGTCCCTGAGATTGTCCACCATCCATCATTTTGGTCATTCCGTTAAAAACTCCGTTAAGTGTCCTGAAACTCTTAACCGAAAATTTGGGCAATTTTCAAAGTTCGTAACTCAATCGTTTCTTAACCAAATTCGATCCATAATATATCAAAATGAAGATAGGAAAGTGTAGAATAAGATTATACCTATTTATAAGCCCAATGGTTGCCGGAGATGGCCGGAAAATAGCCTCAAAGTTGACTGGTCCAAGTGAAAACTTGAAAACTCGCCGAAAACTGGGTAAACTTTAAACATTCATAACTTCTTCAATACTCAACGAAAAACGAAAATCATACTTCTCGACGAGAAGAAGAGAATGGTACTTTTTTTTATGGCTAACTCGTTGTGGTTTGGCCAGAAAACGGCTCCAAAGTGGCTAACTCGAGATCAAGACAGCCACTTTCGAGCCGTTTTCCGGCCAAACCAAGTTGACAAAGGTACCATTCTCGTCTTCTTGTAGAGAAGTATGATTTTCGTTTTTGAATCACTTTATTTCGTTAAGTATTGAAGAAATTATGAATGTTTAATGTTACCTTTTTCGACTTGGTTTGACCCAGTTTCCGATGAGTTTCAAGTTTTTATTCAGACCAGTCAACTTTGAGGCTATTTTCCGGCCATCTCCGGTAACTATTGGGCTTAGAAATAGATATAATCTTATTCTACACTTTCCTATCTTCATTTTGATATATTATGGGTCGAATTTGGTTAAGAAAAGATTGAGTTACGAAGCTTTGAAAATTGCCCAAACTTCCGGCTAAGAGCTCCGGGACACTTAACGAAATTTTTAACGGAAGGACCAAAATGTTGGATGGTGGACAATCTCAGGGACCACTTTCATTGATTTGGAATCTCATGGACCAAAGTGATGAGTTATGTAAATCTCAGGGACCATTTTAACGATTTAGCCAAAATGAAATGATATAAATTAACAAGGGTTGTCTAAGAAGTAAAAGGGAGTGTATGGATATCACACCTCTTAAAAAAACTACTTCTACTGTGATGTGAGAATAAAAAGCTGTAAAATATAGTTGTTGAGTGTTTGAGAAACTTCTTTTTGTAAAAGTATTTTTAACAAAAAAAAAAAGCAGTGTTTGAGTGTTTCGAAATTTTTTTATACAAATTGTTGTGGATATACTAAATGACTAGAGATATGGTATTTAATGTGATATAATAATTGTCATAGAGAATAATGTAGTGGCGATGATTGTAATTTTGTAAAATATATGGGTATACTTGTTATTCGAAAATTTTATTAAATAAGCACTGATTACTATGCTTTGGAAAAAAAAAAAAAAAAAAACTTTTTTTTAGAAGCATGGTATGCCTTGTTTTGTGTTTTTATGCTTTTCTACTGACATAAACAACAGTTTAAAAAAAAAACATTTTTTTTTGTTTTACCAAACACATTTAATGTTCCTGATATTTTATTAAGCTGTTTTTATTAAAAGCACCACAATTCCAAACTATCCTATAATAATGTGAGTAGATGAATTTTTCGAACAATCTGAACCCCACCCCATCATTAGCAGGTGGTGTTCCCTTCCAATCAAGTAACGCCATCTGCCCTACTAAATTTAAATAGTTTATTCCTTTATACAATCAATAAACGAATATTTTATTTTTAAAAAATATGCCTCATTCTCATCACCCTTTCCCCTGCCTTCCTCTCCCTCCGATTCCTCCGAGCCCTCTACAAAAACCATTGCCGCCCTAGATTCGGCCCCACCATGTCCTCTTCCCATTGAATCAACGACTCCACCTCCGTCGTGAGCGCCCTATATGCCACTGAAAGACTCGATTAGCTAAATCCCAAAACCAGTGATCTGCACAGAGGTTTTAAAAAAAAAACCAAAGAAACAAAAAATTAAAGGAAATAATAGCATATCCATGAAAAACTCAAATCATGATGATGAAGCAACATGACAGAAGATGATGGTGCCAAATCGAGATTTTAGTTGAGTGATGAAGGGTGGAGCATGATATGGTTGTTAGGTGGAGGATAGATGTTTTGGTGTAGATGGAGGTGACTCCTGAGTCAGAAAATGCTTGGTTTTTGGTATTGCAGACTGAGGCGGCGGAGGAAGATGGAAGAGAGAAGGGTGCTAGTGCTATATTAATAGAATGTTAATTTTTTTTTTAAATTCTTTTAAGGCTTTTTGGCCAAAATGAGATTTGCCTAACTCCTCATTTTGGTCCCTGAGATTTGAAATCAATAGAAGTGGTTCTTGAGATTGTCCACCATCAATCATTTTGGTCAATCGGTGAAAAATTATGTTAAATAAGGATCAATGGGACCAATGGGACCAACACATTCGACTTTGGAATGAGTCTCATGTCTCCTACAGCTCTAGACATGGCTCAAGTATTCAGACTAAGGCCCTCGGCAGGTGCATGGACATCACTCATGATTGGTCATCCCCTTCTTACCCGATTGCTGAAAGATCGGGCGCATCTGAGTCCATCACTCGTCTGGAGTATAAACTCTTCAACATTCAAAAGCTATAAGACGTCATTTGCAAGCTTCATCATGTTTACCAAAAAGATTTCCAGGCCTCCATCCTCCACTGCAGATAGGGCTCAGGAACACATGTATTTCCTCATATATTGGTTGAACAAACATGTGTTTCTGAACAAATCCAAATGAGTGAAGCTGGAGTAGATCCCACTGGTGGAGGCCTTACACTCCTTTTATGATGTGGCCACGGGGTCTTTTCTCCTAGCACACCTCTACCACATTCTCTACGAAATGACTAGAGGCGAGCCATTCGAGACCAACTTTAACTGGCCAACCTAGGTGCTCCAGTTATGGCTTCAGTGATATTTCTCTGAGTTTCGGGCGCCAAACTTGGAGTTCATTGAAGGAGTAGCTTCAGCCCGTATTATGGTAGATGTGTCTTTTATGAACCATTCGACCCGTACCTACTTATACTTCTTTAGAGTCTGTCGAACTCAGGCAGACTTGGAGTGATGTGCTTCTTGTGCTTAGGAGGTACCCATGGTTCTTGGACCAGATCTTCCAAGATGCTTTTGGAGAGGATGCCATTGGCTATTGCAAGGAGAAATTTGTGAGCTGTATCCAACAATGGGACCTGGCTTGAGGAGTTCGAAACGATCGCATGGGCTACGAGCGCGAGCTAGAAGTCTACCACCCTAATTTCTGTGGTAGGCACCTGGGATTTAAGTAGGCCATCCCAATGCTCTACTTTGACTTTATGCGTTGTGTGACTTCCTTCTGCCTCCACTTTCCCGTCGACGTGACATTTCGGGTTGCTCGGCGCAGTTTGAAAGTGATGAGCTGTATAACACACAAGCATGTGGCCCTCAATTTTGAGTGTACTCCATTCTTTGCCACTTGGTGGAAGGCCAAGTGGTCAAAAAAGTATGATGATGATATCAGAGAGGCACACAATCGCCTATTCGGGCAATTCTTTTTCAAATCCTTCCAGAAAAAAGATGAACTTGAGAGCTGGAAGGGGGCAATTAACCAAAAGAACTAGCTTATTCTCATAGGTACACCTTGCTACTTCTATTTTGCTTCTTTTGGTGATGCTTCCATAATCCGTCATTTACTAACTTTTATTTTGGTCTTGCAGCCCAAGGCAACACTGAAGTGGATATCGGGCCAAAAGAAGAAGTTGCAGATGCTCTGGTTCTTGAGGAGGCTGTTGCTAAGGCAGCAAGGTAAGGGGTAGGGTCTAGCCAAGCAATTAAAAATGTTGGAAACATTTCTGAACTCTTCAGCGAATCAGAGGCCGAGGTTGGGCCTGAGGTGGATAAGCGGGCACCTCGGCTGGCAGGGCCGACCGTATTGGAGACTTCAGAGTATGAGCCCAAGGAGATGCCCCAGCCTTGACTTGCTCTTCCTATCTCAAAGACAACTCTCACAAAAAAGAGGACCAGGTCACAGACTTTTCAGTCCTCAAAGCCCTCATCTGCCTATCCAACTGAAACAGGCAGAAATAAGCAAAAATTCTCTAGTAAGTGATTTTAGCCTTAGTCTTCTTTTTTCAGTTCCAACTTTCCCCAAGTTTGAACTAACACTCCTCATCTTTTGTAATTATGGCCTCTTGCTACTAAGAAACCTATCCCTACTTCCCAAGGATCGCAGTCAGGCGCAGAAGTACGACAGGAAGACAAGGAGGTCATCGACACGATCCTCGAGGAGTTAAAGGTATGACCTTTATTTCTTAAGCATGAAGTTATTTTTGAAGTTCACTTTCTTTGACCCTTGTGCTAATTCTTTGCTTATTTGCTTGTAATAGGATATCCGAGGCAAAAGGATCTCCCAGCACGAGCCTTCATTTCCTCCAGCCCGAGCAGCACATTTTTTCCCTCGTCGGGCCAAGCCCTCAAAGGCATACTTCTATCTCATTCCTGGTTAA